TCGCGGCTTCAGCTCCGCCTCCAAGTTACTTACCCTAATTTCTGCTGATTGGAACAATTCGAATTTAGGGAGTTAACCATAATTCTCACTGCTCCAATCACATAACTTTAATTTGGGACTTTGGACCTTAAAAGTCCTAACGTCGTTTTTGACAGCTGCTTGAAAAATTATACCAGTAGCATGGGTTGCTGGCCTTCCCACTTTTGACTTATGGGGTTCAAAACTTGTCAAGTGTAACTTTACCAAAGGATCCCGCCGGTCAACTTTCTAACTGAATTTCCAGGAAAACTCTGCGGGGTGCTTCCTGTCTGGTCTTTGTAGCAGTGAAGCAGGCCCTATTCTTGAAACCAAGAATCGGGCTAAGTCACCCTTGAGTGTTCCTTGCTACCTCTTGTGTATAATTACTCTAAAAAGAAATATTGATTACAAATAAAGATGGTGGTGTCAGTGGTACGGCTACAGGTCCACACTTTCCCAGGGTCTGAATTTTCCTGATGACATTCCTCTTGTGCCATGCTACTCTTGCCTTGCTGCAGGCAGCAGCCAACCTGCTCCAGGATCCACAGTCTCCTCTGGTCATCTCTTTTGGCTTTCTGCTTCGCCCTGCAGCTAGTTTCCGGCCCCTATGCCGTTTTTTCTGTCCTTTGACTAGTTTCACTATGGCATCTTCCGTAGGGACCTCCCGATGTTCCACTTTGGATTCCAGTCATGGTTTGGTTGGTGTCCATTTCCTGCATCATTTCTTTTACATCTTCTTGGTCGGCTTTTGTAATGGCTTTCATGTACTCTTTGATTTTGTTCACCATTTCTTTCATCACTTTAATATTGGCATCCGTTTTTTCTAGCAGGCATTCAATCATTTTTTCCAGCTCCAGATGAACCTGATCCAAACCGTACCACTTCTAACACCAATTGTCATGTGTCAGAGTGAGTAAGACTCGGTTTTGGATTGGTAATTGGATTTATTGGATCGTCACTAGTTGTAAATACAAATAATTCAAACACTTTCAAGATTACTGTAATAATAACACACATGTCAGGTCTTCTATTTACTTCTCTTGTAAGCACTCTGCGCTAGTCTCTCAATTGCCTCGAGCTCTCTTGGACTCTCTACGCACACCGACTTAACCAAGTCAAAGTCAAAATCACATTGTGACTGATGGTCAGTCAGTCAGTCTGTCTGTCTGTCTGTCTGTCTGTCTGTCTGTCAGTCAGTCAATCAGTCAGTAAGTCTTGGTGTTGATCCCCATCTGGGGTTCATGACCAGATATTTATTACTGTTTGACAGTTATGGTCTTGTTTTTGTGGGGGCGCTCTCTCTAACAAGAGGACATGTCTGTCTTTTGTATATGCTGCTGGCCCTTGCCATCACTGTCTTTTTTTTTGGATCCGAGTACCTTGGTATTCGCGACGATATTTTACTGCATCAGATTTGAGATTTCCCTTTTTGTCACCTTCTACGACTTGCAGGGTGACGGTGGAGGTATTTGACCCTGCCTCCACGTGGGTACTACTATTTAAGGTTAAGTCAGTTTCAGTTTGAATCAGTTTAGGGGAGGTCTGATACTTCTAGGTGTTTGATTTCAATTTCCTGATTCAAACTGACTTAACCCTAAACAGATATTCGTTATATAGGCGCCGCATGGACAACACAGAAAACAAGTCGTGATAGCTAGTACTGTTGCAATGTGACATCATTGCACCTGCGCGGAAGTCTGTTTAGTGAGCCGTTGCCTAGAAGCTGGTTGCATAACCTCATTGTTCATTGTTGTGAGCATGTATTGGGTGTGTTTACCGGTCTGTTACCTAGCAACACTCTGGTCATCCACCCTGAAGTGTTACTGCTTTATACAGGAGGAGCCAAAAGTCACTGCACATCTACAAATGGTAAAAGTGCCTCATCTTCTTAGTATTAATATTTGTAAATTGACAAAGTGGACCCCTATAAGGTAACATGAGTGCATTAATTCAGGTTGTTCATTGGCTCCTTTCACTGGGTGGCAATTGATTACTATTATTATTAAACGTTTTTTTCCTCAAGTAGATTACTGTTATGATTTTGCTTTAGAACAACTGAAATTGCACACCTTGCATATGAGGAGATATCATCTTGATGCGCTCTTCCTTATTCAAGTTTATCGTGGTTCTGTACTTTGCCCTTCTGCTTTGGAAATTGTTGGCCTTCGGGTCCCTGTTCTATACGAAGGGGGACCCAAAAATAACCGGAAACGACCTGTTGCGCGCGCATGCTTTGTAGTTACGAGTTGTGCTGCTAGGTGGTGTTAGCTGGGGGTCTCCCGCGACTGTTAGTGAGCTGGCGTCAGTCTGAGTTAAGTGGTTTGTCTGTGGTGCTCTGTTGTGTGTGTTCCTGTTTCAACCCTTTGGCGATTAGTGAGATGGCCGACCAGAAGGAACAAAGAGTGTGCGTGAAATTTTGCTTTCTGTTAGGGAAAACTGCACTTCACTCTTCAAGTCGCGGCAAACATTCAC